AAGAGATAGGTCCACTGATTGGAAGCCATGGCACACAGTGGAAGTGGTCAGCTGCGCATGCTCAGAGCACCTTCTCTCTTAAATCAAAAAGGTTTCCATTAGCGGCATGCCTGTTGCTACGATCTGAATCCCATTAACACTGGTCTTGACGGGACAGGATTGGTTCCTGGCAATATGTTTCCATTAACCAGAAGTTGCTATTATCAGGGTTGCTATTAAATGGAATCTACTGTATTTCGTGACAAATATTAAAAACAAAAGGAACTTGAAACTTTATTTAACCCCAGAAAAGAAGTAAAGAAAATGTGTATGTTACACATTCTCATATTAGTCTTCAGTTTGAGGGGAGAGAGGAGCCGGTGCTTCTGAGAGAATGACATGACACTAACCACATGGGTTATTTTATTTTATTTTGTCTCAAAATTTTGAATTTTCAGAATATTTCAACCACTGTCTTAGCTGGCTGAAAATCACCAATCATTGTTCACAAATGTTGTCTACATTTTTAATATTTTTCCTAGTTCTAATTATAGGTATTGCCAGGCACTGTTTGCTTAAGTGCTGTGCAATCCTTCCCACACACAGCCCTGTTAATGAATCTCAGGGCTGATTTGCAGCACCCTTGCAATTTTATTCCTGTGCCTTTCTCCAGTACCCACTGCCAGTTGTGCCAACAGGCATGATGTTCATGGGATAAGACAGTTAACTTATTTCTATCTCTGACTTAACCAGCTTTGAGCCAATTGTAGATCTGTAGAGGGTGATCAAGTAAGGGTCCCATTCCTCACCCACACTGGCTGTTAAATTCCCATTGAAATCTGAGATAATTCTGCATGTGGGGCAAATGCAGGATCTGGGTTTAAGTTTTTCATTTTATCTGGGAAAAGAAACACATCGATTAAGTCTAGAATTGCTTCAGTTTATATCTAACTGGACTGTTTCCAAGTGCTACGCAATGCGCTTCCTGAAAATAATTAATCAAAATAATTAACGGTGCTAACACACAGCACAAGGCAGTAACATAGTAGTGAACCAGAGGGGTTTGCAATTGTTAAAATCATTGTGCATGTTTTAAATGAGTATCAAAGTGGTTTCCTCAAGAGGTTTATTTTTAAAAATGCAAATGTCAGCCTGATACACACGATCTTAAAAGGAAGATGAAAAACAGCCAGCGTTTCAGGGGTTTTTTTGGTCTACAAACCTTAACCTGGCCAGCTTTCTCCAGAATGGGGAAAAAGAGGAAGCACCCCATATTACAATATCTCTTGTGCTAAACAGCCTACAGAGGTAGATACAGTCCCTGCTTTGTGGTGCTTACATCCTAAATTAAAAGGCAAATGGATAGCTCCTCTGTCCACCCAGCAGATTGTTGTACCACAGCGTGGTTAAGGCACTGTATACATAGTTCTGTATCAAATTAGTTACAAGTATATATAGTCACCTTATTTTAATCAAGCTATAGTTTTGATACTGAGTAAACTTGGTTAGGGCACATAACCACGTGAGATCCCCATGCTGATCTCTGTATCCTTTATTGCAATGCTAGGTTTTCTGACTTGCTACCGGCCTGAGATTTGCTCTTATTTTCAATCTAAGCAACAAGCCTAAATGAATCCATCTGCTATGTGACTAAGCAGTTATTACGCTGCATTTCATACATACAAGATGACTCGGCACATTTTCTGTGCCTCTGCATTCAGGTTCCTAGAGGTTGCCTTCCTCTTACACACTCTTCGCTGTGCTCTATCAAAGTTAGATTGTTAAAATCATTGGAGCACCGAGCCGTTATTTGTATTGTCTGTGAGCACAATGCACCTTGTGTGGTGTATTGTACGCAATAAATAATTTTCAAGGTTCATAATTTCAGTTACCTGGCCAAATACCTGGCAGTTCTGGTCATTTGGCCAAGTGACCAAATAAAACAGATACTCAACCAAATGATTAGTTTAGCATAATGGTCCAGATTAAACTCTGGTGTAATTTCATTGAGGCTACTGGGATTACACTGAAGGGAAACATTGATTCCTGCTGTAACACCTGTAGAATAAAGGCTTATAAAGGGGATCAAAGAACTGATCTTGTTTATTTCCAGTGACGTTTTCCCCCCCTCTCCCCCCGCCCATCAGGATTCCAGAAAACAAATGATGTCTTTGTCCCTTATTGTTTACATGGTTCTGTATCTGAGTAATGGGATGAAATTTAGGAAAGGGAAAATTTGGTTAAAATAAAAATAACCTATTAACATAAATGAGATCTGTTAAACTGTGGAGTCCCTCCCAAAGAAAGTTCTTGGACACCCCGTTATTTGGGATTTTTAAAACTAGGCTGGACAAATGATCAATAATGTAGGAAACAATCCTGACCTGGCAGGGGGTTTGATTGACTAACTCCAAATAGATGTTTCCAGTGTTAGACCACAGAACTGCGAGTTTGGTTAGTGATACCTGTGGGACCCACTGGAGTATATGTTTAAGAAGTGTTAATGTTGTCTATACTCCCAACCTGAACATACACCTGACCAAATGCACCTGGGAAGGTTATGAATGAGTGGAGACATTCAGGTGGCATTATTGAGGGGTTTTTAAGTCACTGGCAGCCCAAAATGGAATTGTACCCATCTGCACAGTAGGCTGTTTTCTCCATTGTTTCGTAATACTATAGTAATGTATTTACATGTCTAATATCTTTCCAAGCTCTGCTTGGCAAGCCCCTCTTATCACATTTAAAAGTGGAATGCCAGCTAAGCAGCCAGGCAGTTCTTTCCATACTGTTACCCAGCAGCCTTTAAGAGTCTCGAAAGATGTGGCTGCACAAGAGTTTCCCTTTCAGCTTTAATTTTCTAGCAAGGCTTGGCTCACTCAGAGAAATTAATAAAGTGCATTTATGGCTCTTTGCCTGTGCCTTGAATTCTTCTAGTTTGTTGTAAATGTCTATATTGAGCAATAATACAGGAGTCTTTTCTGTTGCCCCTGAAATCTGCAAGAGATTTGCCATTTCCCACAAGCTTTAACTCTTTGTGGGATCTGTACCTTCTAGTGATAGTGCTTCCATTGGAACAGCTTGAAATTCCACAGTTCAGATTGCCAGGGTTCATGAGAACCATTTTTTGCTTTCTGCTCATGTGGGTTTACATTGACTTTGTATTTGAAACAATTCAAACCCTCCTTATGAAACTAACCAAGACTTGTCTGGTCTCAAGTCAAAATGCTGTGAAACTAGCACATTTCTCACATGTTTCAGAGTAGCAGCCGTGTTGGTCTGTATCCGCAAAAAGAACAGGAGTACTTGTGGCACCTTAGAGCAGGGGTAGGCAACCTATGGCACGCGTGCCAAAGGCGGCACGTGAGCTGATTTTCAGTGGCACTCACACTGCCCGGGTCCTGGCCACCGGTCCGGGGGGCTCTGCCTTTTAATTTAATTTTAAATGAAGCTTCTTAAACATTTTAAAAACCTTATTTACTTTACATACAACAATAGTTTAGTTATATATTATAGACATATAGAAAGACCTTCTAAAAACGTTAAAATGTATTACTGGCACACGAAACCTTAAATTAGCGTGAATAAATGAAGACTCGGCACACCACCTCTGAAAGGTTGCTGACCCCTGCCTTAGAGACTAACACATTTATTTGAGCGTGGGCTGTAGCCCACGAAAGCTTATGCTCAAATACATTTGTTAGTCTCTAAGGTGCCACAAGTACTCCTGTTATTTCTCACATGGTTTCCACCCAAAATTCAGTCCTGAGTTTGCTCAAAACTCCACTTAGGCTGGGAAAAAATTGGGGCAAACCTCAGCAAACTACTTGGTACACCTAGCTTGAGTTTTATTCCTGTAATAAAACCACCAATTCAGGGAAGTTACACTTTGTTTGGCGTTCTGTTCAATTTTACACAGATTTAGTTACCTCTGTTCCAGTCATTTTATCCATCCATGTGCTGAACTTCTATAGACTTCAATAGGGATCCTGCACGTGGAGGGCCTGGCAAAGTTGCATTAAAATATAGACAGTTGCACAAAGTTCACTGTACTGAATAGTGTGACTGCGTTTGCCAACATTTGTTTGGGTGTCCCTGCATTTCAGTACGCAGCCAATAATATATCAAGAAGCACAGTGTAAGATAAGTATTAAAATGCTCGCTCATGTTTAAAATACAGCTATCTCACTTAAAAGCCCCGAGTTCCTGCTCGTTGTCCCAAAGATGAGCTTGTCAAATGACTAGTTAATCAAGCAGAAGAGCTGAACTAATCGTAGAGATGGGAAGCTTTAAATATACACATTATGTAGGTTCAGGCAGAGACGATAAATTCAGTGCAATGTAATTGATATTGTCTCCCATGAACAGACAGTAAATCCACGCTACATTGTGCCAAACTGTTCACACTTCAATAAAAGTGGAATTAGTTTTATGCTGAAATATAACTCTTCAAAACGGGCAACATGGAGTTCCAGGTTTGGATCCCATTGATTTCTGTATCAAACGCAATTTGCTTACAAGCAAAAACTTTTTTCCCCCTAACTGCCAGACATACATACTCAAACTCATATAAACTTTGGGGTCTGAGTCAAAGTGGGTCTTTCCTTCCATGACCGTCTCTGGCAAAAATGTTCCACTGACCAAAATTCAGCCTTCTGTGACACATGTGTAACTTCCACTGTGGATTTGTACAGGTGTAACTACTTGGAACTTTGAGAACAATTTTGTTGATATACAAGAAAGAACAGAATCCAGCTCCTCCTCTCTGTCGAGTTGGCACTACAGAAATATCTGGAATAGAAAGCACAATGGTTTTATTGCTAAAACAAGCAGATCTGATTGTGTGCACAGACTATTTTTACATAGTCACTTTTTAGAGCAGAACTTTGTTTTAAGGAGACCATCTGCCTTCTAAGGTGGGCGGCTGGGCGGCTACATGGGGAGTGTTCTAAAGTAAGTACAACTAAATGTAAGCAGCAGATGATGTGCCTCCATTTATTCTGTGTTTGCTCTTCTCCTAGCATGTGCTGAAGACTTTTTCTACACTTCTATGGGAGGCGACACAACTATTGATGGAGTTGATGATGCTGATGATTTTGACAAAACCAGACATGCTTTCACCCTGCTTGGTAAGGGATTATTTGAAAGGGTCCAGTTGGAAAGCTTCCTAGTAGAACACTTGGATGTCTGTGTCTTGCAAAGGCTTTCAATACTTTGCATAAGCCCTAATGTAATAATGTAACCCTCGGAGGCATAAATCCATTTTCTTTTTGACCTACTTGGTTTTACCTTGCTCTCTGGGTAGGGAATGTGGGAGGATGACACCAAGTTTCTTACACTCACATCAATAGCTAGTGAAACAGAGGGGGGAATTGGGAGAATGACTGACTAGAGATTACCCCAAATGGAACATTTTAGGTTTAAAGCGACATGGCCATTTTCATTTAGTCTCAGTTTTGTTTCTGTTAGTCTGTTTCCAGGAGGTGCAAAAATATCTTTACTTTCTAACTTAGTTCCTATTCAGCCTGGCTAAACACAGGGTGATGTGTGTCATTGCATACACCGTCATACTATCATTGCCAAGTATCAGAGCAATAGAAATAATGGGCCAAATTGGACTCTTCACTGTGTATACACAGTGCACCTTGTAGTCAGTGGAAGCCATGCACATGTAGCCAATGGCAGAATGTCCCAGTATTAATAACCATATGCAGCATTCCTCTAGAGTACAGTACAGCAATCTGCCACCTCAGTGACCTGACTGCAGTACAGACTACTTATAAGGAAAATAATTTGTAATAGAGGAAATAATTGGCTCTCTCAGAATCTTATACATTTGCAGGGGTTTATTCCCGTTCTTTAACTGTAGTTAATCTTTTAAATGTAATTTTTAGTTCCTCGCTGCACTTCATTTTATTTCTTCCTGTTTTGGAAGAGGAGTTTTTAACACTGTGTGTGCTGCCTCTTGGGGGACAAGGGGTCGCTGACCTTGTGGCTGCACCGATCACAGGGGATTACCATATGCACTGTTACAGGTGCGTCCTTCACTTACCCTTCCAGGCTGAGAGTCTCTGAATTGCACTCAAATTTCAGATGTACATATTTTTCTCTTTCATTTCTCCTGGTCCAATCTCAGGGGCTCTATCCTCATCCTCTTTGGCTCTGCTGCTTGTGAGCCTGTCAGTTATCCTCTCCTTCTTCACATCTTGCTCAGGCGAGGCTTTTGAGATACTGTCCTCTCGTGGTTCTCCTGTCCCTCCAACTCTTTTGTGTGTCTGTTTTTGCTGGCTCCTCCTCCTCTTCTCTGTTGCCCTCTGAGGGTGTCCCCAGGTTCCATCTCTGTGCCCCCTAGTCTTTTCACTTCTGTCTCTGGACAGCTGCAACTGCTTACAGAGTTTCAATGATCATCTCTATGCTGATGACTCATAAAGTTCTCTCCACCACTGATCTGTCTCCTTCTGTCCAATCCCATGTCTTTTCCTGGCTCTGTGATATCCCACTCTTGGATGTCTTGTTAGGATCTTAAACTGAACATGACTAAATCTGAGCTTCTCATTTTTCACTTACAAGGTTTCTCTGCTTTCCACCCTCCTTTACCGCTATAAATCCATCACCATCCTCCCCATCTTTTAGGCTAGTGAATCTGAATTCTTTTTGTCTCCTCCCTTTCTGGCCCGTCAGCCCCTCATCCCCGCCCGCCCCCCCCTCCCACCCCGCCCGGCTGCATCCAAATCCTGGTGTTTCTCCTTTCTTAACATGTTCACGGCCTAGGGCTGGCTCCAGGCACCAGCCTTCCAAGCAGGTGCTTGGGGCGGCAATCTGCAAGGGGCGGCAGTCCGTGTGTTTTTGCCGCTCCAAACAGCGCGCCGAATTGCCGCCGCGGACGGCAGGGGCAGTCCAAGTGCCGTTCAGGCAGCACGCGCGTTTCCGCGGCGGCAATTCGGCAGCAGCTTCTATATTCAGCTGCCTGTGGCGGCAATTCGGCGGCAGCTTCTGTCTTCCGGCTAAATCTGCCGCCGAATTGCCGCCGCCACGGAAACGCGCCTGCCACCCTAATGGCACACGGACTGCCCCCGCGGTCCGCAGCGGCAATTCGGCGCGCTGCTTGGGGCGGCAAAAACAGTAGAGCCGGTCCTGTCAAGGTCTGAATGCTTCTTTCCTTTCACCCCAGAGCCAGATCTCTTGTTCAAGTCCTCCTAACATACCGCCTTGACTACTGCAATGTCCTCCTCTGACCGCCCACAGACACTGCCCCTGCTTTAGTGTCTGCATTTTGTGTGGACTAAAGTCACCTTTCTTATCTGTCAGTTTGATCATGTCATGCATGCTCTTCGAATCCCTTCACGGGCTTTGTGTCTCCTCAAGCCCCTCCCCTCCACTAGTGCTCCAAGCCTATGTGCGTGTGTCAGCTTTTCATAAAATCACCACCATGCCTTCTTCCACTCAGCCGTCCATGCATGATGCAAACTCCCTGCGCTCATCTGCAAATCCCTTAGCCTGTCCACATTTACCTCTGATAAACAGTGCCATAGAGCAGCCAAGTAGTATTGCTTTTTGTTAACCCTAAATTATTTTTCCATCACTGTTGATGATAAAAAAAAAAATCTCTGGAGATATAAAAGCAGGCTCGACAGACCGAGAACATCCAGAGCAAGTCATAAACCTGTAGAACATGATGTGCAGAGCAGGCAGTGAACATTTAAAGAGGAACAGAAATCTGCTGAGATTTGAAGTGAGATTTTGCAGAGTAACAATTTTCAGATTTCTGGGAGTGATGTTCCTGCTGGGGAAGCTAACCAGTATCTGTCAGAAAACACTTGAGAAGGGAAAGTCTTGCACCAGCAATGGAAAGCCATTAACAAGTACGTCTGTCACACACTTGCAAGTTGTTTTGGCATGCGGTTTTGGATGTGAATTTTTTTGCACATCCAAAAACGTTAAACTGCAGGTGCAAGTGGGAGTGGGTAAACTGGGCAGTCAGCCGTGTAGCTCGGATGTTAAGGGCTTTATTGTACAACTCTCTCACGTTGGTACAAGTGATCCCAGTGACTCCAGTGGGGACTATTTGAGTACGTGCTCTTCCTTGGCACTATTACTACCCAGTAACCATTTTAAATACTGGCTTACAGCAGTAGCATAGCTTAATCTGGTTTCACTGGTATTGGCCTGCAATTTGTGCGCCGCAATTGTTTGTACGATCTTACAATTATTACAGGTAAGCAGTTTTTCCCTTTTGTGTTATAAAAAACAAAGCAAGCCCCTATACAGTCTCCTCTGCAGTTGGTTGAATTGAAATCCCAAATGAGTTTAAATGATCATCATAGAGTAGTTTCTTAGCTTTCATGCAAGTTTAAAATAGTATCCGATCCATCTGTAATAAAATCACCTTGATATGACTGTTTAGGGTGTGAAGATTTAACAGTTCATCTGAGACGTTCCTCTTGCAATCTCAGCTGTCACCTCGAATGATGATTTGTTTATTGAGGGCATTCTGACTGTTTTTGAAATCATCCATCCGGAAAGGAAATCGAACCATATAAATATTTTAAAAGAGAATAAAACACTTTTTATGTTGTAAAAATTGGATGTCAATTGTTTCTTTCAGGAGTGAAAGAGTCTCATCAGATGAGCATTTTTAAGATAATAGCTTCCATCCTGCACCTAGGAAACTTGGAAATTCAAGCAGAACGAGATGGAGACTCTTGTAGTATATCGGTACGTTTTTAGCAGGCACAGAAGATAGTGTGTGTGCAATTTTGTGTATTAATAAATCCAGCCAAATTGCCTGTCTCTTGCTACAAAGGATGCCATCAAATATGTTTAGTTAATAACTTAATTTCTAGTTATTTTCTCTTGTTTTATTGCTTTTGTAGGCAACTTATCAATAAATCTTATTTCCCTGATGTGTGTGTCTCTTTCCATCTGGGAAATAATGCAATCTCACTTGTTTTCACTTGTAAAGCAACATGACTGTGTTTGCTTACTTCCTGGGTTTTTAAAGTACAATGGTTGTCACCCTTAAAAACTGACCAATTGCCCTAGCTAACAAATCTAATGTTACCTCAGTGTTTGCAGCATTCCCTGGAGTAAATATTAGGGAAACAGAGAGAGTATTGCAAATACTGAGGTAACAATACAGAGGTACAAATACTGTGATCCTTACCCCCTACGCAAGGTAAAATTGACAAGTCTTTAAAGGAAACCAGTGGATCAGACTCAATAGTGCTGTCTGCAGAATAGTGGTTGGGAATACACGCACCCTAGGGGCAATGCTAGTGCTGAAAATAGCTGCTGGTGAATAAGAATCCGAAACAATGGGCTAGTGCCGCCTCCTGTAAATGTAACTCCACTGACTTCAGTTGACTGGTTTTGGATTTTCCCCAGGCGCAGAATTTGGTCAGTCCTGGTGTCTCTCAAATACTGAGGGGATTTA